AAAAGCGTCGCCTGGTGTTCTGTGAAGTCCCTAGGATCTACTCAGTGACAATTCTGGTCGGCAATTCCAAGTAAATAACAGCAGCGGCGCCGTACTGGTAACTACCGGTTAGAATTAATTGAGATTTTGATTGAGAAATCGGCTCATCATTGCTGACCAGCTTATCGGAGATGGCAATCGTTCAAAGAAATGACATGACATCATTCGTAGATTGATGACCAATCACTCACAGCCGGTTCAGGTCCATATTTTTGCAACACTGGTCGTGTTCACGATCTTCAGTACGACAGTTAAGGTGATCAGATGAATAGAACGTGGAGCAGAGCTGTTCTCAAAAGCAGTAAAGAGGGAAGAAATTCCTAATCTCAAATACCCATAATCAAAAAACGGTTCCATGCATGCCCTTCCAGGAATTCAAAGGCATTGAATGGCAGGACAGCGGTGTGGTTTTGATGACGTCATTGAATGTCATTGGTGGACTAGACCTTTCAGTGCGCTGGGTGGAGGTGCTACCGTTGGGACCGCCTCTTAATGCTCCAGTGACGTCATCAAACCGCAACTCCCCCAGTCATCATGATCACCGTGCCTTTAAGCTTAGAGAATACGTGGCCAGCCTACTTCTAAGGAGACTAGGATAAGCTAGGAAATCAAGCACAATGCCAGGCGTCCATCCATAGGCCTCAACCGTGGGAGGTCAAATTTGACCCTTGAGAACGGGAGCTGTTGTAGAGGGTCGGCTTGGAAAGCCAGAAGAATTCATTCTCAGAGGTGAAAAAGGGAATTCTTGAAAATCACTACTATTTAGGAGTTTTTACTCCTTCCTCTTCCTTTTTAGTGCTGCTTTTCATTTTTTATTCTTACCATATCCACAGGATCATCGAAGAAGAATAACCTTGGTCTAGCGCGTCATCCCAGCAGACGTTCAGTCCTTTCCGCGTTATCTGTTTTCGAAAAGGAACTTCGCAGAGTATTCTAGTCCAAGTAAGAAAAACTCGCTGAAAATAGAGTTGGGAGGGGCACTCCCTGTCATCTCATCCTCGGTACTAAGAAGGACTGTTTGGGGCTTTCCAGCAGGATAAGATAATACGAAAACAACTCATACAAAGTGTAGTTAGAAAAGGATCGGTGAATGAACCATATCCCACAAAATCTGACCACATCCTTCCAGTATTTTGTACCTAGTCATAGATCCTGGAGTCTTTCACCCTTACCTAGGCAAAGGTGTCCACTCCCCTGTTTGAGGGTCGTTTTTTGAACCACTGCAGGTTGAAATGGGTAACGCTTCAGTAGCACTTCTGTACTACAATGACACTTACCAGAGAGAATGACTCGATTACATGCATGAGTGCCTATATTCATTCTCTAGTACAGAAAAGCACAATGGAGTGTCTCCCCCCCCCCCTCAAACTCCGTTTCACTGACAACCTGCGAGGAGGCGCCACTCTGTAGCGGAAACTGTCGCGAAATCAGACACAGACATGAATTAAAAACGGCTGTTGGTCGAATCAGAGGCGCCAAGGATCGTGATTAGTCACTGGTGTTACATATAGCGCATTAGCGACGGTCTTCGTTCCTAAGCGAGACCTCCATGACAGACCGTTCTCATGTAAACATTAAACTCTCGTTCCTATAAACATCCTTTGTTAAGACACTTCCCTCCTGTGGTCCCGTGGAGCTGCTCGGTTCATTTGGTGTATTGAACACATGTTTCTAATTTGTTTGTTCACTGCTGTTTTAACGGCGCAGTTTTCGTTGCGAATGTTTCACAAGAATACTGGGTTGTGAACAAAACTTTCGCCACCAGGCGGGACTCGAACCCTCCTTGGGCGAAAGTTTTGTTCATATCAGCATTCGTGTGAAACATGTTCCTCGAGTTGATGAAATCAGTCCACCTTTGTCTCCTTACAAGGAAGGTCTTTCTGGGTGTGCCAAGCTTTTTCAAAACGTTCTTTTGCATGAGATAGAGGCACATGCGGGGACCACAGAACCATGGTTAATTTTTCCTGAACGGTCCTCTGAATACCAGTAAAGGAGGTCCATAGTCACACCTTTCTCACCAGTTT